TCAAACGGGGGGAAATGGATTCTAAAAAAGTTCAAACAGGAAAAATGATGAAATCTGGAAAAAATTCAAACAGGGAAAAATAAGTAATTTGGGAAAAATAAAACAGAATTTGGGAAAAAATCAAATGGATTTCATAGGGCCCTATACTTGTTCAAATGAATGAGGATTTGATGATGTGTGGGTTCTTTGTTTTGCTCGTCGTCTTCAGTGTCTTTCTGAACTTTACAATCACCTTTACAATCAGGATTTGAAATAATAAGTGTAAAGCATTTTTCAGGGAAACAGCATCCTTTAATATATTAAGTCTTGCTTTCTGAGAATTTGAGTTTAAGCTTAAAACAAGGACAAATATCTGCCAATGGCATCAAAAAACTTGTTTTCCATTTGAATTAAGCTTTTGTTCTTTTTATAAAGTACATTTTCTCACCCTATTAGCAGATATTAGTTGATAAATCATATCTGATGTAATTTTGTGTCTCAAGTAAATGTATCTCGATCTAAGAAGGTTTCGATGTTTGTGCTTGAAAGCGATGTACATCTGTGTGTGACGTGCAGCAGATCATGCAGCAGCAGCAGGCGGCACTCATGGCAGCGACGCAGGGCTCGTATCTGAACCCCATGGCTGCCATCGCCGCCGCTCAGATGCAGCAAATGGCAGCTTTCAACGTCAACGGCCTGGTGGCTGCACCCATGACGCCGTCTTCAGGTACACACACACACACACACACGCACTCACACACACACACACACTCACATTTTATTCTTTTATTTGGATCCACAAGACAAGCAACAAAAACGGAATACCTTGGGAAGTCAGTTTGCAAGATGACAGGTACACATGGCTAGCATACATTCACAAGTCCTTATATTTATAACATTCAACACTCAAGGTGTAGACAGACTTTTAGCGCAGCAGGGAGCGGCACGACAACTGTCGCGTCCGGTGTAGACACGGTCAGACATTGTCTGCTCTATTACAAATAATGTTTTTTTTTTTTTTAAATACCTAAAACAGCGGCATTACAAGATGGAAATATAGACTAGAAAAGATATTTACACTAGAGCTTGAATTACAGTCAGCAGCCGGATCAATACGTCCCGTCCCGCAGGAAACGGCTGTGGTTTTCATCAGTTAGTGTTCTCTAGAGTGTTCTCTAAGTGTTCGTTTCGGCCATTACTCTCACCGCTGTTTGTCACCACAAGGTTTTTTTGTTTTGATGTTTTTCAGCTTCTTTTGATTGCATTCACGTATCCACACAGAGGCTCTTACAAAACCTAGTGAGCCGCCTATCTAGACAGCATTTCAAGTGTCTTATACATGAATGCTGTCCTGAAAGATACTTCAGTTCTGGCAATGCAAGGCAGAATCGGATGTATCATTCATAACGAGAATCCCAGAGTGCATTGCAAAAATTTCTTTACATATTGAAAAATATAGATTTTTTTTATACCATATATTTCTGTGCTTTGTATTCTGGGGTCAGTAAGATTTTTGTAATTAATTAATTAATCATTTTAGTTTGACCTTTGAACTGAATGGCATAGAAACAATTGTTCGTTTTATTTTATTTTACACTATTAACATTTTCTTCAAACATACTTTTTGATCTTGTCCTACAGCTTTTATTAGATTTTCTCCAAAATTATTTTTATTATTTATAGCTTTTTGTTGCGCCAAACTGTTGGAAAGTTACTCAAGTTACTCAGATTGATACTTTGTAACTCAAAAACGCATTAAATTGACCAAAAGTAACAGTAAAGACATTTATAATGTTACAAAATATTCTCAAATAATTGCTGTTCATTTGAACTTTCTATTCATCTGTGAATCCTGAAAAATAAAATGTATCACCGTTTCCACAAATATTGTGCAGCACGACTGTTTTCAACATTAATAATAATCAGAAATGTTTCTTGAGCAGCAAATCAGCATATTAGAATGATTTCTGAAGATCATGTGACACTGAAGACTGGAGTAATGATGCTGAAAATACAGCTGCGCATCACAGAAATACATTACAGTTTAACAGATATTCACACAGAAAACATCTGTTTTAAATTCTAAAAATATTTCACCATAGTACTGTATTTTTGATCAAATAAATGCAGCCGTG